ATCAGTGACTTGAAATTATCAAATTTAAATATAAATTTACTGGAAATACTGACATATATGAACTTTTCTGAAAAATAACTGGTGAAACAACTTACTAATATTGCTTTCAGGAGCAGAATTGAACAAAATGATTATGGTACTTTTGACAGTAAAAATTCTCTCTGAATTTTAACTCATGATTTTAACTTGTGCAGGTATCAATGAATGGCATTACAGAAGTAGAAGTAAAGTCCAGACTGCTGGCAATGAGCTGGCATTGCAAGATTTGCACGAAATTGTAGGAAGCATAGTTAGCTAATATGAGGCAAATAGCAAGTAGCAGAAGTAGAAAGAGAAGAAAAAATGAAAAGGAAAGAGAAGATTTATCCTCTGAAACACTGGGTGGACAGGAGAGGTAATACACTTCATGCATAAAAAACCCCTTCCACCATCCTGGGAAACTTCTGGTTTGATTCTTTTCAGGGTGAAGAAACCATCAACAAGAGTTGAACCATTATTGATGGTCTTTGGCTCAACAGAGTGTATTTTTACAGAGTGGAAAACTTTTTCCACTTAGGAAAATCTTAAGATTTTCCCCCTGAGAAACACAGAACACATGTCATTGACATTGACTTTAAGTGTGTTTGCACATGGTCTTCTAGTCTGCATTTCAAATACTGTTTATTGTATTCACTATCAGATCTCAGAGATGCTCATTCCTGAGTAAATGCAATTCTTTGCTCTCAAGAGATAAGCACAGAATAAAAGTATTGATATTACCTGAAAAAAAAAAAGAAATGTACTTTACATTGCAAGAATTTATAAGAATGAAATAGAACAATGCACATCTCAATTCAAATGATTAAATGATACCACAAAGTTTTCAGCTAGATAAATTGTTGTGCTCTTATTGATTCAGCTGGAGTTGGGCCAATAGGACTGCCCATACAATGAAAAGGGCTTTGGAACATCCAAAATTTCATTTTACTGTAGAGTGGACTGCAACTGGACATGATATGAGTATTTTTAACAAATACTGATTACACAACCAGGTTTCCTTTTTGGATGTATTTATAAACTTTTATGTTGTTAAAATTTTTGTGTTTGAAAGCACCATGCAGGGACACGATAAAAGACTAACATATGAATGGTTTTGATTAATTACTCTAGTTTGGAGGAAATGCAGTACAATGACACAACAGCATCGCTTTAAAAAGCTTATTTATAATGAGGCAAATAGTACCAACCCCTCCAGCTCCAGGATTAAAATGAAAATCAAAGTAATGTGAAACTTCCCTGCCTGGCCTCTGACACTTCATTATATTTATTTTCATTGTGATGTCATGTAGGAAATTAGGTGATAATTTAGGGTCCTATTTGTGGTAGGTACTATATAAACAGCAAGATGAAGAAAGTCCTTGACCTGAAGGGCTTTTAAAAAAGGACAAGAGACCATGCAGAATCAGAAGGGCAAGGAGATATTGAGGCTAATCGAGTTAGAGTGGTAGGCTATTTTCCAGTGGCTGCCTAGGTATTGACTAGTTATTTTGGGGTTTTCTTTTTAGTTTTTTTAAGGTCATCACAAAAAAGTACTCTAGAAGAAGAGGTAGGAAAGCAAAGGAAGGGCAGCATAGGTCTATTAAAGGAGCACCTTCTGTTGAAACCAGCTGTGTGGGAGGGAAACAGCATTGTGGATGCAGCAGAAACAGGAGTAGAGCTTTCCATTCTAATTTGGAGCTGAGAAATACCTTTAGAAAGTCTTTGAAAACAAAGGTCAGGAGAAGTAGATAAAATAAATTGGAGTTTGGAAGGTAGCAAAATGTTATATCTCTGGAGAAAGAGGATATTCTTTTCATGAATTTATTTTGGGATTGTGTAGAAGGGAGGAGATTGGGTTTTTTGTATAGTTTTTTTTTTCCCATTTTAAAGCAATCTGCTGAAGGAGAGTGGGCAAGTTTGTGCTTGTATCTGTTGGCAGAAACCACAGCTCCAAAGGCAGGAAGAGTTTCCTGAGTTGGGGTCCCTTTGTCAGCAGTGATAATGATAGAGGATATAGGGAGACAGAATTTACTTGATGGCTTTTAATTAAAACCAAATGCATATTTCCTGAACTTGGTGGCAGCCTATAATTTGCTCTTTTTCATCAGTGAAGTAAAAGAAAAGGTGAATTTACTAATTTGACTAATTTGCACTGTTAGTCTAATTTACTGACATAGTTTTTATTGATGGAAAATATGGTCTTTGCAATTTGAATGGTTGCTGTTATGTTTTTGCTTTACACTGGTTTTATACAAAGGAAGAGGTTGGGTTTTCACTTTGGGAACACTTCTGATTTCACTCAGTTTACATTTCATTTTATCTGTAACCTGTTTCTTTTCACTCTATAGCTTTTTAGAGATATAAACAAGATGACAAGATGTTTTTGTAAAGCACAGTGCATTTTTCTTGACCCTGAGTACTGTGAAGGGCTGAGACCTAGGAAGAGTGCCACCTTGTAGCCACTAAACTAGCAAGTTGAATGAAAGGAGGGATTTGTTTTGCACTAAACTCATCTGTTTTGTGAAAAAGGGCGCTCTGCTTCAATGCCTTTCCACTTGAAGTAAGTTATGGCTCAGGGAAAAGCATACTATTTGCTGAAACAGCAATATTTGCCAAAGTACAGATATATGTCACATCTTCTGCTAATGTAAAGACTTCTGAAAAATTCTTCCATTTAGAGATTAACTTGGCACATTTGATGCTAAAAGAATTATTTGTGATGTGGTCATTTACTTGGGTCGTAGGACTGTGGTCAAAATATTTTGAAACGATGAAATGGAAAAGGAGAGGAAAAAAAAATCTGTACAACAAAACATTATTTTTATCCAATGTCCTCCCCCTACCCCAAAATCCCCAACTGGCTCTTCCCTAAGAACACAAACTTTTTAAAAAATGAGCAGATGTAAGGACTTGACATCATCTCAGAAATAGAGGGTCTGTCTTTATGTAATGAAATAAAGACAGACAGCAATAGGAAGCAATTATTGAATAAGGTCACAGTTTGTGCTGGGGAGTATTCATGCTTTGTGCAGAAGCTTCTGTCCTTCCTATGGCAATAGAAAGGCTTTTTTTACACCTTGGTGTCCAGGGAGTTTCTCACTGCGTGTTAGCAGAAATGGTAACTATAAATTAACAGAGACAGTTTGCTGAATTTTGTTTACTACTCTATGATAGGGGTGAAAATACAGTAAAAATTATCTCTGAATTTAGAGAGGATATGAACATTAAAAGCCATTATTTTTAATTATTAAATGATCATATGATTTATCACAAACCTGAGAAAGAGAACCCCAAGGCACATTTTGACTGACATATTCTGTGAAGGAAAGGTTTCCTTGGGTACCGTGTTAGTGCTCTGCTCCAGATGTCTTCATGGCATAGCCAGTTGCAAACATCAGCTTAATTGAAGAGCTATGAACTACCTGTCAGGACCTGCAAATTGATCCTGAGGGGTGTTTGGGATCACAGCTCCATTTATCAGCATTCCCTTCAGCAACCAAGTTATATTTGGGTATAAACTAATCCTTGGTAAGTAATTAGTCACTTGCTCATCCCCATACTTATTAGTATACCTAGAGGCATGTGCATCTACCTACACACATGGATATGGAATTTTATCACAAAGTAGAGGCATCTAACTTACTGTTCTCCTTAATCTAAGCTCATTGTGTAGGTAGCAGAGAAAAAACCCAAACACCCTAGAGGGTGATTTAATATACCTAAAATCTGAATCGCTCTTTGAAAGTGATTCATGCTTCTTCACAGACTACAAACACTCGAGGATGAGCAAAGTTATGTACCTGGAGGATGAACCTCTACTGACTCTCCTTATCCTGTTAAACTTTTCCCTGAATATTAAAGAAGAATAATTTTTTCCATTTCTCAAAACTTTTGCTCTTTCAGAAGAAATCACAGCCATTCCAAATCAAATTGAAAGTAGAAACAGGAAAATTAATGCAGTTAAGAAAAATCCCCTGAACTTCCATATTGCCACAGCTTAGACAAAATGAAATGTTTTGTTTAACCTTTGTTTAAGATTTAGTTTTTAATAAAAACATTGAAGCATAATTTACTTACATTTAAAAAAAGTTAAATAAATTAAAAATTTAAGTAGAGCTTTAATGTATCCTTGAAATATTTTTCTCAAATTCTATTTGTCCTTATAACAATTACATTTTTTTTGTGGAAAGTTTGACTTTGTATCATCTCCTGGAATGATTTTCTTAAATAAAAAAAATCCTGACCAAAGCCTACTTCTACTAATTTATTTTATTTTGCTCTAGAGTGATATTTCCATTCTCTGCAATTATTCCTTTTTCCATTGCAGAAGCTATGAAATTATCAGTTCCACAAAGGTTTATATGCAATCATACGTTATGAGACAGTTTTCCAAAATGCAGTGTAGAGCAGCAGCTTCCAGCTATTGATGTGGAAATGTTTACTTTATGTAGGAGTTTATACTTTCTGCACAGGCCATTGGGAGTCATAAATGCCTGACTTTATGAAGATGCATATATTCCTCTGAGGAGGGCTGGGTGTATCCTAGAGTGGGAAAGTTTTAGTGGCAGCCAGAGAGCCCTGGAACTCTCGGGAGCCAAGGAAAGAAGGAAGGAAACACAAAGTGTGCATGTGCTGGTACATGTGGAATATCGAAGTAGGATGCACTTGTGGATATTTGGGTATTTGAAGATGGAAAGGGTAGAGCCATGGCTGATTCTTCACTTCCACTACACTGGCACAGAATGGGCACCTACAGACACAGGGTGTATCCAGGTCTCCTTCTGCCTCCTCTGATGAGCGTATACAAAAAAAAGAGGTGGAGATTTAGAGAATGCGAGTTAAAGAAAGATTAAAAGTCCCTTGACATTTCAAATTAGAAAAAAATATCACATTGTTTTAATCAAAGATATGAAGCAAGCTTGTAGATTGCATGTTGAATTTGAATACCTTTTAATTTGTATCTGCATTTTGGTCAATTTCAGGTACAAAGCAATTGTAAATCCCATGGACATCCAGACCTCCAGTGCAGTGCTGTGGACTTGTCTCAAAGCCACTGCCATCTGGGTAATCTCCATGCTCCTGGCAGTTCCTGAAGCAGTGTTCTCCGAACTGGCTCACATCAATGACACAGATAATGCCACCTTCACAGCATGCATACCATACCCCATGACAGACGACATGCACCCAAAGATCCATTCTGTGCTGCTTTTCCTTGTGTATTTCCTTGTCCCTCTTGTAATTATCAGTATCTACTACTATCATATTGCAAAGAGTTTAATAAAAAGTGCTCACAACATCCCTGGGGAACACAGTGAGCATTCCAAAAGACAGGTAAGCAATTTGCTTTTTACATCCTGGTGAAAGACTTGTGTGCTGTATACACTTATGAATGAAAGTGAAGGAATTATAACATCCAAGTTGTTGGATTTTGCAGAGCATTAGTTCAGTTTCCACATGAAATAAGGCAAGGATTTTCTCAAGATTTTCCTTGTTTTCACGACTACTCAATATTAACCCCAGTATGTAATGAATATGAACAAGGAAAATTATAAATTCAGTGCCATGAATGCTCATTCCTAACAGCAAATGAGATTGGTATATATGTTTGTATGTGCTGTTACTCTAACCATTACTTGTATTCTTACTGAGGAATGATGTTTTTGTAGTTAATGGTGGTGGCTTCACCCGCCTCTATAGGCAGTCATTTTAGGAAAGAAATCTTACATGAATGTTTTGAGAATTGTCCCTTTTTATTTGTGCTTGGAAATGAGAAAACTGATATAGACAGGGAAAACTTTACTTAGGGGATCTAAGATTCTTTTTAGATTAAGGAGTGCTGGAAACATGAACAGAGAGTATTAACTGATTTTTTTTTACTTGGATACAATACTGAACTTGTACTTTTCTAATATCTTTTCTGTTAGAGATGCTATAAAACTCTTGGTATAGATTCTGTGTATCTTTGAGACAAACGATTTTAAAATGCTAGGCAAAGCCAATCTTCCCCGTAAGGCACAGGAAGCAACAAGACAGTAACATTAGCAGGAACACACATATGTACAAACAACAGCTTTTGCAGTGAAAGTGCCTCAGCTGCTTTGCAAAAGCATTAGTACTGATAGAGAAAAATAATTATGCCAATTTAAACAGTTTTGAATTGTTTTCTCTGCCAGTAACTTAGAAAACTACTTTCATACTCTCAGAAATTTCTTTGCATGCACACATTCTTTTTAAAAGACTACATTCCTTTACGTCCATTTTGAGCAACATTTCATTTCTACTCTAGTCTGTTTCTTGTCAAAAGTGCATATATATTAGCACTTCATGTATTATTTTATTTCCCTGTGAAATATAGAGAGCCTTTTGGCTGAACCCTCTGGATGGAAACTATATTTAATTTATACCACATTTCTGAATTCACATGTATTTTCAAAGTAAGAACACATTTTTTCATTCTACTTAGTTTTTTTTTCCTCTTTGTTAATCTATGAGGCTCTGAAGAATAGAAAATTCAGGTGGACTTACATATCTCCCAGAAAGAGGAAATAAATTCAGGCCATTGCTATCAGCTTATGTTTCTTTAAGCCAAGTGTGATATTCACACTATACTTCTGCACCTTTTAGTCTGCTCTAGCAATCTATCTGAGTGCAAATGCTACCAAATTTGAATGTTAGAGTTTTCCCATCTATTTTGATTTCCCCAGTTTTTTGTTTTGATAGACCCAAGAAAACAATTTAAAGATTAATTTCCCAGGTTTTGAAAAAATGTTAGAATAAATTCACTTGTTTGGTTTTTTCCCCCAGAAAATTGAGCAGAGTAGAAAACTTTCCTTCCTCTGCAAAACTTTCATACCTGATATACACAGCAAATCTTTTAGGAGGAATATGGGGAAACTTTATGTTTCTCTTTGGGGCCTTCTACCCAGCCAGTTTATCTCCCTCTCTCAGTTTGGAACCTCTGTGTAGGCTCTTATTGTGCCATCTTTTCAGCCACTCTCAGTATCTACAATGTAATCTGTTATGCCTTAGCACTGCATTTAAGGTACATTTTGTGATGTTATTGAAATTAATGGAACCTTTCACCTTACCCTGGAATTAAGATACTTCAGATGGTGTAATACAATTTTGGTGGTTTCCCCAAGAGAGAGGTGCAAGCTGAGACCCTCAGTGAAAAACAAAGAGATATGAGCACCACTGTGTAGCTAACACCAAGTATCTCACCTCTATATCTTGAAGCCAGAAGCTATTTCTAAATAGCTTCCTAGCTAAAACTTAAGTTTCAAGCCAGGCACTGAGATCTCATCAGAAAAGGTTACATTTCATAACACCCTTTGGTGCATGCTTACAGACTAAAAGCCAGTGCTTCCTGGGGTCATGAATCACCCTTGCTGTGTGTATCATATAGAAAGACCAACCTTCTGTAACTGCAAACAGCTAAGAAAGTTGACTGAGAGTTAACTGAAAGAGGAAAAGGAAATGAGATAGCAAAAGTAATTCAGCTCCTGAAGGAAGCATTTTTGCAGGCCTTACTCATGACAATTGCTGAAGCTAATATAGCAAAATGCTACATATTTTAATGAAACCTGTTATGTAGGATAGCTCTGTGTGTTGTTGTTCATTTGGGTTCTCTTCATCTTTTTAGATGGAAACTCGGAAGCGTCTGGCAAAAATTGTTTTAGTTTTTGTTGGCTTCTTTGCTATCTGCTGGTTTCCTAACCACGTGCTATACATGTACAGATCCTTTAATTACAATAAGATTGATCCATCGATGGGACATATGGTTGTTACCTTAGTGGCCCGAGTGCTAAGCTTCTGCAACTCTTTTGTCAACCCATTTGCACTGTATTTCCTCAGTGAGAGTTTTAGAAGACATTTCAACAACCAGCTCTGCTGCAGGAAGAAAGCTCAGAAAGAGAGATCTGCCAGCTACTTGTGCAACTCCTCTGCCATTCAAATGACTTCCCTGAAAAGCAATACCAGGAACACAGTGACTACCATGACACAACTGAATGGGCACAACTTGAAACAAGAAATGTCATTATGATCTAATGAGTATGATTTTTGACTATGAAACAAATCTGAACTTTTCCTTTGCAGCTTGTAAGTCACTTTTGGCTCTTGTTCTCAGACAGTCCTCAGAAAAGAGGCTCTGTTAAATTCTGGCCAATATGAGGTTATTTCACACCATCTGACTCTTAGAAGTGAAGAGTATGTTTTATTGAGGAAACAAAACTGACTGACATAATATTGTACTTTAAAAGAGATGCTGATATATGTTTTACATAAAGGAAAGCAGTGTAACTGATAAAATATTGCTTTAAAAAGTATAGATTTTCTGATATCAAAATATGTATTTTTAACTGAATATTGATCCAGGCTCATGTATTGCTTTAATAGAGTTTGCATGACTTTAGCTCTGTTGTGTGTGTGCTAGCTTTGCTGATTAATACTGTTAAGCATTTTGGATTCCATTAAACTTTTATTTTTAATTTATTTTTTCTTTAATCAGCTCACATGTCAGCACAGGTAGTCAAATTGACACAATGACTGAAGCTTATTGCCACTACTTGTACAAGGCTGTTCATATAAAAGTTTGAAGAGGTGTGTCAGAGCTGAATCCCCCCTTATACAGTGGGATAGAAACTGACAAATAATCATTCCCAAGCCAGGTGACAGGTTAGCTTTCATGTCTGACCTCCAGAGAGAAGGTGCTCACAGTGTCTTTCTTAGAAGGGGCAGTAATTTGCAGACAAAGACACCTTGTGGAAGTAATTTTTTTATGGTCAGTTCGTGAGCCAAATGTAATTTTAAGTGTGTTTTTCTTTACAGTTGGGTAGAACTGCTCCAGCACAGATCTGTCTCTGTCACAACACTGTATCCTGTTCTTCTGCAGTGACTTCTCTAAGGTGAATACTAGAGAGTACACTAGAAATTTAGATTGGACTTTGGAATTAGTTGCTAGTCTTATAATCTCAAAAGCTGAAGTGCTAATGCAGTGTATCCATTCATTTTTCCCTTTGTCTTTAATGATACACTTGCACTTAATTAGTTCTGTTTGTAACTCTGTGAACCACCTGAAGTTCAAAATTTCTTTTGCAATTCCTCTTTTTTCAAGACTAGCTATATCCCTACCCAAATTTTTAAAGCAATGAGAACTTATATTGATGTAAACTCTAAGTGTTCTAGCTAATATCTAGGAAAAAAAAATCCCCAGTTGTAACCACTCAACAGGGAAAGTAACAGATTGAAGTTCTTAATGTCAAGAGCTAGAAGCCTTTATACAAAGGAGATGACTAACATGAATTGTAAATCTATGTGGAATGGCTTAGAAAGTTGTTGTTTTGTCATAGTTTAGGAATGGAATTCCCCAGTTTAGTGTTCCCACTGAAACACTCCAAACCATGTGCTGCTGTCTCACTCCACACTTCCCTCTCCCCTGCAGTGGGGCAGAGAGAAGAAATTGGAGGCACAAAAGGTACATATCAAGGGTTAAGATGATAACAATTTGCTAGAAACAGCAATGAAATAAGCAACAAACAGTAGCAACAACAATATTAATAACAGAGTGTTACTAAAATTAGTAACAAGAAGTGAAGGATTCATATGCAATCACTTACCACAGGGAACCTGGCTCTTTCTGGACCACTCACTTCACCATTGGCCTGATTGGAAGGAGCCCATCCCTCCCCTGCCCCCTGCTTTGGCATGAGGTGGTATAGAGTAACCCCGAGGTCCTGGTCACGTCCCTCCTGGCAACTGCAGAAATGAACCCTTTTCTGGCTGGAACCAGGACACATCCATAACTGCCTAACACTGCCTCATCCTTCTTTTTCTTCATTTTGTCTCTTCTCTTTCTTCTTGCCTTACTTCTGAGAACATGCCCACCTGTTCTCAGAAGTACTTTTTAATTTTATATCACTAGTTCTTCCTGGATGCCAGACAAAGTTTTGGATCCTGCTCTTCTGATCAGCCTCAAGTCCTTTTCACTCACAAATATTTTACATCTGCAAAGCACTAATGCTTAAAGTCTTCCTTTGTCAATTCTTGGTGTTTATCATTGACTGTGATCAAGTTTTCTGTTTATTTCTGCTGGGGTTTTTGTGGTTCCCTGCTCCTCATTTTGTTTGACAATCTTTCTACACTGCATAGCCTTTCACAGTATTTCTAAATCCATTGTAGTTTTTATTTCCAAAATGAATTTTTCTGATGTGAACCTTACCAGATGATACAGGTGCTCTATTGGAAAAATAGTAATTAATTTGTGGTAGATTTGATGTTTCTGTTTGATTCATGCTTTCCCCCCCCAATGTCTTAAATTGCTGTGTGTGGTATGGACAACATGAACCAGCTTTCTGGCAGAATGGAAAGCTAGAGTCTGTTCCTTTTTGTTGAGAGGGGAAGGTGTTCAGAGGTAGACTATAACTCCTTGTTGTCAGGAAATCAGCACGGTTTTGCTTCATTATATCCCAGACCTAATATGCAAAGTCTGTTTCAAGTAAGTAAACTAAATTTTATATAGCTCCTTTCAAATTCTTTAGCATGGCATGGGGGAATAAGTTAATCTGTCTGGAGATTTACTAGGAGTGTTGCTAACCCACTGTGCACATTTTGGAAGTGTCTGTTATTGTGTTTTTGTACATGTTGTATATAAGCTGTATGTATAAAGCTATTTTCAGACAACTCTGCTTGCTAACAATTAAAATGATAGTAGAATGCATTTTATGAAGTATTTTCTTCTAACTGTAGTCAAAGGAACAAAGAAAATCTGCAAATAAGATCATGTCAGCTTTTCATATACCACCTTGAGATCTATGCCAAAATAGTTGTTAAAATGCCATCTGATATTTTTTCCCTGTTATAAAAATATTCTTATTTCAGGAACATCAGTTCTTTTCTATCTTCTTCTCCTGAGTTTTGAGATGGCTTCTTTCAAAAATATTTTTGCAACAATTGAGAAAACTACCATTCTTTCTTAGTCTTTGAAAAATGAGAGAATAGAGGTAATTACTGTTTCATCGGTGTAAGACATTTATTTTTTGTAGACTAGAGCTAGTACAATGTAAGTCTGATAGCATCTTCTTACTTCACCCTGTCAATACTAGAAGTATAACATACGCTGCTGAATCCTGAAATGTCAGTATGGTTAAATTCTCAACCAGCCTGAGAGATCTCATTTAGCATTACACTGTGATGTGATAATTATCTTCAACAAAGGCATGTCACTTTGAATACAGGACAGATTTTTACAACATACCTGCCCCGTAGATATTTTTCTTAACTCAGTCAAGACAGAAACTCTGGCCCAGGAATTAGCAGGGCTGATTGAGAGATATTAAACCATGCTCAGAGGAGGAAAGGGATAAGACCAGGCTACTAGAGATCAGTCTGGGGGGAGCAGGCTTGTGACGAGGGCAAAACCATTACCCCAGCTGAAGTACATCTCCACCAATGCACACAGTATGAGAAGCAAGCACAAGAAGCTGGGAGCCATGGTACAACAGGAAAGTTATGTATTTGCTGTCATGGAAATATGGTGGGATGACTCTCATGACTGGAGCGCTGCGATGGATACCTATAAGCCCTTTAGAAGGGAAAGCAGGAGAGGTGGTGGGATGTGCCTGTGGGTAAGGATCAGGAGGAAGGACGCAGGGTGGACAGCAGGGTGGTGGGAGTCTGGTTTATGCCACCTATTCAGGATGAACAGATAGAGGAGGCATTCTACACGCAGCTGGCTGAAGTCTCATGATTGCTGACCCTTGTACTCATGGGTGACTCCAACTTGCCAGATATCTTCTGGAAACACAACACAGCAAAGAGAAAACAATCTAGGAAGTTCCTGGAGTGTATGGAAGACAACTTCCTAACACAACTGGTAAATAAACCTACCAGAGAAGGTGTCCTGCTAGACCTCTTGTTTGTGAACACAGAAGGACTGGTGGGTGATTTTGTAGTCAGTGGTTATCTTGGACACATTGGCCAGGAAATCGTAGAGTTTCAGTAATGGGTCAAATAAGGACAGGTACCAGCAGGACTTCCACCTTGGAAGAGAGGTTAGAAGAGCAGACTTTGGCCTGCTTAGAACATTGATTGACAGAGTCCCTTTAGTGGTCAGTTCAGTAGTCAGTTCTGAAGTGTAAAGGAGTTTAGAAAGGCTAGATGTGATTTAGAAAGGAATTGTTAAATATTTAGGACTAGGCTGCCCCCAACTGTAGAAAGACAAGTCATCAGGGAAAAATACCAGCCTTATTAAATAGAGAACATGGGTTGGAATTTTGGGAGAAAAAAGAGAATCTATCATCTCTCAAAGGAGGGTCAGGTAATTTGTGAGGACTATAAGGATATTGCAAGGTTATATAGGGAGAAGATCAGAAAAGCCAGAATAGAATTTGCATTTTATGAGATGGGAAAGTCTGGAGGTACACTCAGAGCAAAGGGCAGATGATCTCAATATAAGCAATATGATCTAAAACCACTGCCAATTCTAAAATTGCAAAGTACTTTTACTTTTGAGCATCCCAATGTCTGCAACTAAATGTTGCTGAGCCCCCATCAGCTTTACCTGTCTGAGAGCAGATTTAATTAACCTCTGTAACAGTGCACACATTTCAGAAAAGTACGGCATAGCTTTAGGTGGGCTTGTGAGTCTATAGCAGCTCCTTCAATCTGATTGTGTGGCTGTGGAGAATGGAACTGTCAGCAGCAGCGGAGGTATCTACCTGTAGAAGAGAATGCCAGCAATGGCAAATATTATAGCTTTCACTGTGCACCAGCCTCTGTTAAATAATTTTCCTATGTCTACACACAGTTTGATTGCTTTTCCTCTGATGGCAAAAGCTAATGTGTTCGACAAATTTCATTATTGCCACTTTCATACAGATACAGATCAAATAAAACACATGGGCTATAGTAGATTTCCATACAGTGAAGGAATGATTGTGTTCTGACAGTGTTCTAAACCATCTTTGTTCCCCCAGGAGTGATATGAGCATCATTATAACCTCTTGATCCAGGTAATAGTCCTACCAGAGGGGATGTATTACTGAATCTGCTGGTAACCAATGCCAGTGAGATAGCTCGGGATATCAAGATTGAAGGCAGTCTGGGCCACATATTTTCTTTAGGAATATGGGTGAAATAAGGAGTAAGGTAAGACCCCTGAACTCTAGGAAAGCAAAATTTCAGCTTTTCAAGGCGATAGTCAGCAGGATACCTGGGATACTGCCCTCAGGGACAATGGGCTAGGTGGAACAGAGCTGGTATATTTTTAAGGATGTCTTCTACAGAGTGCAATTAGTAAGCAATCCCCAGGAGTAAGAAAGAGGGCAAGGGAGGCAAGGGATCAGCATGGCTGAGTTGGGAAGTGTTTGTCAAACTACAGGAAAAGAAGCACATACATAGATGGTATAAATAAAAACAGGTAAGCTTTGAAGAGTGTAGAGATGAAGTTTGGTTGGGTAGGGAGGAGATGAGAAAGGCCAAGGTGAAGCTGTAACTGAACTTGGCAAGGAACACAAAAATGACAGGAAGATCTGCTACAGGTATATTAACCAGAAAAAAGAAGTCAAAGAAGGTGTACTGCCCCTGATAAACTGGTAGCAACAGATGAGGAGGCTGAGGTACCCAACAACTTCTTTGCCTCAGTCTTCAATGGCGCCTCTCTTCCTGCACATCTCAAGATGACAGAGAGCAAGATGAGGACTGGGGAAGTGAAGTAAAGATCGCTGTAAGTAAAGATCAGTTCATGACCACCTGAGGAGCTTGAATGTAGGTCAATGGGATCTGATGAGACACATCCCAGAGTCCTGAGGGAATTAACTGATGTAGTCACTTTCCTACATTTGTTTGAAAGATGTTTCCTTTTCAAAGATCTTGTTTCCTGAGATGTTTGAAAAATTATGGCGGTTATGTAAAGTCCCAGGAGTAAAAGGGAAAAAGCCTGCAAGAAAGTTGGAGAGACACTATTTACCAGATCATGTGGTGACAAAGGAGAATGGGATCAAACTGAAAGAAAATGGTGAGACACCAGAAAAGATTTCCCAGAGAGGTTGTGGATGTCCCATCCCTGGAATTGTTCAAGACCAGGCTGGATAGAGCTCTGAGCAACTTGGTTTAGTGAAAGGTGTCTCTGTCCATGGCAGGATGATTGGAACTAGATGATCTTTAAGGTCCCTTCCATGATTTTATGATATTTGGTTGCTCTAGTCGTCTGGCTCAG